ATAAGAAGGTATATATGAACATCTATCCCAGAAAGCCCTAATTCGAGACAAAGAGTATGGTTGTTGGATTTAAATACATATTGGAGACATGCTTTTGTGGTAATGCGTAGCATGAATCTTTTCACAAAATTTATGGACCATAGTTGTGAAAATCGCGCTTGAGGCGCACCTGAGGCGCGCATCATGCAAGGCGCAGGGCATTCTTCACGGTGATGTGGGCGATGTACGTTATGCGAGCAAATGCCTGCGCATTAGCGCAATAAGCGATGCAACTGGATGCGATAAAACGCGCGCATCGCGAACACGGATTACATTTTTTATTTTAAATTTTTATAAGGGTTGATTTTGTTGAAATTTTTGCTTCTCTGCTTCGTCTCTATGTTTCTTTCTACGACTTTGTTTTTTTTCCACTTCATCGCATGGGATTTTTCTCTCTGGATCAACTTTGCTTCCGCCGTGCATCGGTTTTCCTTTTGCTCTCTTCAGATTCTCTACTTGCTTGCTTCACATTTTAGGTTCTTTTACTTTTTTTCCTTTTTATAATCGTGAGGCTTCTGGCCTTCCGCCTTTTTTACTTGTCTCTTTAGTGTTATTTTTTCCTATTCATACACAGCTCTCTTCATTTAGTTTTTTTTAAAAAAGCCCTACTACTCCATATCACCTCGCCCAGACGCTTAGGCGTCGCCTAGGCGACGCCTTGATAAGTATGTATTGGAGTCACAACTTAGATCTGAATCCCTCTTCTCCTTCTTGTATTTATATTTTTGTGTGCTCTTTCAAGTTTCATGTATGGAAGAATCTCTAGATTTTGGGTTTGAAGAACTTGAAGGACCAAATTCTAATGATCCCGGATGGAAGTATGCTCGGAGGTTCACAAAAATAGATGGGAGTGGCCATTTTCCTTATTTGTTACAAAACCCATGAAGTCTTTAATCTGATTATTGGTTTCTTTTTAAAATTTTCTTTTTGTAATTGTCATTTTGTGGGTTGATTTTTTACAGGAAAATTCTTTTTGTCATAAATTCGTGGGTTGATTAATACCAATATGCTTTCTTCAACCCGGAACCAATTCTCGACTGTCTTTGTGGAGCAGCGTGGAAGGGAGTACTCGCAAGAAGGGAACTTCAAGAGGCGGTGGAACATCAAGATAAGCTCGGTGTCATAACATCGAATTTCCTAACCTAAAAAAGCCCAAGATTTTCTTCAACTACTCCAAATATATTTACGGAGTATTTTTTTACTCGAATTATATTCTAATTACTCCTATTCGTGAAAATTGTTGATGTTTCAGGTAATTGCCATTCGAGTCTGGAGAGGAAAATTGGATCTCAATTAGTTCGGACATGGTGCAATCGGTTGATTTTCTAAGAATTTCAGAGTAATTTTGTTCATTTTCTTTAACCTCTTTTACACTTTGCCTCGGTAAAGTGTTGGATTTGGTAGGAGTGTTTATTATATTAATAGTGATATTTAGAGTCTAGGCATGGCGCCCATCATCAGGGGTTCAATTAGCAAAAAAAAGAGGATTTGTATTCCAGTCCAAAATCTAACGTGTAAGGCAGGTAGTTGCTATATGATCAAGGTTCCGGCTCTTGCAGCTGTGGGATGCTTCTAACATGCTGTTGATTGACGAGGTAGTATGTTTTATTTGGGATACTGCTTTGATGACCGACCAGCTCTCCGCAGAGGTGAAGTCTTGGACACCACCCCGTCGCACCTGAACCTCCTCGCACTTAGGTAAATTTGCAGTAATTGAAATTTTAAAATTTTTTACTCCTCTTTTTTTGTATATAAATTACACAGACATTATAGTTGGAATTTCTTATCAACTCTATGAATTATGAAATGAAGTCTATTAAAATTTTCTTATCAATTCTATGAATTATGAAATAAAGTTTATCTTAGGGAAAAAACATGAGATTAGAACAAAAGCAAACAATGTCAAAACAAAGAAAGCATAAATATCTACTGACAAAAATGAATCCAAACCATAAAAAAAGATACTTCCCTTCTATATGCCTGAAATCAATCTTCCACAATTGAGATAAACTGATTAATGATTTTTTATACTTCTTCCAGGCTTCTCAAATGTGTTTCATGTATGGTGGTGATTCATACTTCTTGAATCTTATTAAAACTCCAGGTCATGTAGATTTTTCATATGAGGTATTTTGCTTTCTCTTCCCTTCAAGTTGGTAGTTTACAATGGTATTTACTTTCAAATTGCTTTGTGACATCAATTTTTTTGTCATGTGAGGTATTTTGCTTTTATTTCCTTTGGCCTCCTTTATGGCAGATTTTTTAATTGGGTCATCACTTTTCATTCTGTGACATTTTGTTATACCCGAGACCCGGGGTCTTAACGAGTTACTATTTTGAGGAGGAATTAAGGGGTGATGCAGCCTTAGATTGAGAGTTCTGGGACACGCAATAATCGATTATGGGATTTGACGATCGATTATGTAGTGATGTTGCAAAACGAAGGAACTTCTGGGATGCCGGATAGTCGATTGACACAAGTGTGATAATCGATTATTTGGTTGTATGGCCTAGACGACGAGAATTCAGAGGGACCAGACAATCGATTATCAAAGTTGATAATCGAATATTGTGCTTCCCTGATTATTCCAGGAGTGTTCTGAAGGGTTAGATAATCGATTATTGATGTGTGATAATCGATTATCAAGACAATCAGGATCCGAAATCAGGGCAGACAATAGTGGTGTTTGTGTGGGGAATGGCTGGGATTAATATGGGGATGATGAAGGAGTTCTTTTGGTGTTTTAATTGAAGAAAAGAGTAAGATTAAGAGGAGAAATGGGGGGGTATGAAATGGAAGAAAATCAGGGTTGGATAAACCAAGTTGGTGTTTAAAGGAAATTACACACTCTTAGCCTAACTTGGGGTTTGAATCTAGAATTCAAATAAGATATTACACACTTATTTAAATATCTAGAACCTAAAACTCACACTTAAGATAACCACTCTTAAGATATAGAATTAGGAATTTGGCTAAAATAGCATCACACTATTTTATAAATACTCAAAGAGTAAAAGGAGTTTTTACTAATTCAGAGATGATCATTACAAGGGCCAAATGGCCGAAATATATAAGGAGGGGAGAGGAGGGAAAACACACAATATAATGAATGCAAATACAAGGAACCTTCCTACATCCCTTTATCATTCACTAGCTTCCAATCTTGAGTTGATAAGGGCTGATTTTGTTTGACTTTTGTCTTGGCTTTGGAGCTGGCTTTGTCTGTCCTGTTGTGGAGGCAAAAATCACAAAGAATGAAATCCTTTGATGATTGTGGTGGATATTCTGGCTAAAAAGAGGGGACAAACAAAGATGGGTGATGGATGGTGTATTGGCCTTATATTCTTGGTCATATGAGGTGACTGATTTAGTAGGTGGTGTATCAACAACAACTCAAATGTCCCTTGGCTTTTTGTGGTTGTTTATTCAGCCCTAGTAGGGAACATAAAGGGGACAAGAATGGGGAATATCTTGGTTGATGTTGTGTTGGGATAATGAGGGATATTTGGCCTGGGATTTATAGAAAAGGATAGAAGGTTTT